TGCTCTTCATTCAAGTAGGGCTAATGTGCATACATGCACTAAACGTTCAAGAAACACTGAACAGCTACATGAAGAGATAGGCAAACAAGCGGATACGATCAACAAGCAAATAATCACATGACATTGCGCACGCCCACACACACATATGTATACTGTATATATATATATATATATATTACTACTACTACTACTATTATTATTATTTTTAATATTATTATTATTATATATATATATACATACACATACACATACGTTCCTTCGTACATATCCAAACATACAGACATTGATACCTGTCACAAGCAACCTTCACGTAGACGCATGTTATAGCACACATGATATATACCTATATATGTGTTTTTTAATGTATACATATATATATATATAATGTGTGCGCACAGATAGACACGGATGTATACGTATTTGTAAATGTGTGTATGTATGTATGTATGTATGTATCTATGTATGTATGTATGTATGTATGTATGCATGTATGTATGTACGCATGCAGGATCATGCAGGTGTATATATATATACAGTTCATGCACCGACGTTTAATAGCTACATACATGTATGCACCCGTGCGTACATACATACACAGATACATAGGTATACACATACCTAGATGCATACATACATGCGTACAAGCATATACACATACATACAATATACATGCACACGTACATACATACATACACACATACATACATACATACATACATTAGATACAGATGTACATACATACACACAGGCATGTATACATATATTTATCGGACGTTTGTGTGGAATACCAAACCTATCAAATCCCGATCCCGGACGACAAGATCCCTGTTTCATCTTGACTTAGATGAACACAGCGTGCTTCTATTTGTGGTTTACAATGTAAAGGTTCAAGACAGGATCTGTGATCTCATGGCTTTTACCTCGAGTTTCATGCCAGGTGGTTTATACAGCACATACAACCCGAGTGTAGTTTCTTGTATGCACAGGAGGTGCCACGATGCGTCCCGTATCGCGGCTACAAGAGTTTCCTGAAGGGTTGCTTTGCGTGTGGAGTACAGTGGCAGCCGCAGAAGCCAATTCGGAACTGCTTACGCTTTAGATTCATGTTGCGTCTTGAGCCAGCATCCCATGCACCACCACGAACCCCAAGCCCTAAATCTTCTTCTCAGCGAACTCAGGACGTGACGTCCTTGGTGGCCCTGCGCGCCAAGTTTCCGGAGGGCCAAACATGCCACTGCGCCAAGTATCCGGAGGGCAAAGTATCCCGCTCATCCCAGTGGACGCCGAGGTTCCATACGGCTCCTTGTTTTGCTCGATATTGCATGCGAGCGGGCTTTGATACCGGGTTCACGGATTTCACCAGGGCTGGGCATGATGCGACGCTTTGCCATGAAGCCGTAGCCAAAGTTCGCTGCGACAGGTCAACCTCTGTCCCGATTTGCGCAGGTCTTCGTCACTGCTTTGATGGGTGGCAGTGTCGTTCCTTTCTCTTGAGGACGGTATTGCTCCGTAGGCCACCCCAATGGAATCACGATTGTCGGTCTTTGAATATTCGGACAGGCAATGTCTCCGCACAAAGGGCTTCGTACATCTCCATCATTCGGCGGTGCGCTGGCCGATGACGAGCTTGGACCAATCAGGAGGGGTTCATGCTGGTTCTCCAAATTCGAAGGGCTACCTACGGGTGAGGGTGCTCCTGTAGAAACTGACTGTGACAATGATGACATCGACAAAACTTACGCTGATTATCATGCTTGTGATGGTCATGATATTAATGCTGCCGCTGGCGCATAGTTGTTTAGGGTTTGTAGGTCCTGCAGCACTTCCATCCAGCATGTGCATCTGCAGACGACGCAGGAGAGATTCGAAGCCAAAGAGTATCTTCGTTGCACCATATGGGCTGACTGGTGCCTGTTGCATCTCTGCAGGGCCTGACCAAGACTAGGGCTGGCTGGGATCACAGACCCATAAGAATTTGTCAGCAAGTTCAAGAAGTGGTGGATTGAGCTTGACGTGTCTTGTTCTGCGCCCAATCCTGTTTAGCTAGTTGCAAGACGTGTTCCTGGTGGCCTTGTCGCAGTAGGACTTCGATTATCAAGGGTTTATCAGATGTAGGGTTGGACGTCACACGCTACCCGCGAGCTGGTAGAGTTTGCAACTTCTGTTGAACTGTTGATTGAGTTGAAGTCTTGTGCTGTAGCATAGTCTTGACCATCGCACGCCCAGGCGCCAATTCCGAGCAAAGCCCCAGCAAGGTGCGATCTGCACAGTTGACCCCGCTCTCGTTTAGCAACAGTGAGTCTTGCATCCTGGCCCATCGGCTCAGGGTGGTCGTACTTTCAGATACTGTTTTGAGTCAAAATATCTTTCTGTGGCCTCGTCCCCTTTTGACTTCTGGACTCAACAACAGCCGAGTTCACAACAACAGCTTTCATCATCGCATTCAGCTCTCGTACCACCACCAGCCAGAATCATCGCCATCCCGTGGGCACCTTGCTGCACGTGAAAAGTCATCACCGGAACCCATTCTCTACGACTGCTCTGGTTCCTCGCCGGAGACTTTTGCAAGTGTGGCCTAACGTTGCAGTCCCCATGATGTCTAGTCTTGTTTCTAGACTTGACCAAGCAGAGAGCCGCCTCTCCAGTGATTGTATGAAGTACCATTTCGTCATTGCAGGTGCTACACAGGACTAAATCCGACACAGACGGTCTGGCGGACGATGAACAGGGACGAGCGGCTCCCAAGAGGACGCCTGTTCTCAGATAGCCAATAAGAGAACTTTAAGCTTTTTGACCTCATATATTTGGTTTATGTTTAAAGGGCTATGGACTTTCTTGGGCCGGGTTGTTGAAGAAGCATGTGTTCCTTGGGGCTAAGTGACCTTTGTATTTAGGGGGGGGCCCTATACCCTTCTAATTACTAGAGTTACTAGAACCTTGAACAATTTTAGGGTTCATGTCGTCCTTAAGGCTTGTTGCATCGGCACCAGCCAGTTGGCGTTGTTTCAGAGATTCAGGCTTAAGTTCGCATGGCATCACGAACTTGGGAAGGTGCTGCATATTCGTGCGTCTGCGGATGCAATCGCCCCCTGAAAAGCCGGACTTTTCAGGACTGCTCAGCGAACAGGCCTTGCGGCAACCTGTTCTGGGATGCTGCAGTGTGGAAAGGGCTGTCACAGAGTCAAATCGGTCAGGTGCAGTGCAAGAAGCATGTCGACCATCTTTGTAGCAATTACGTTTTTGCAGAGTCATCCTCTGAATTATGCGGAGGCGGCATCTCTAGCCGACTGCACAAACGAGCGATGCTGGGTGGGATGAAGCCTTTGCAGATGGCGACTCGGCTGACAGTTGCTATTGCTGCACGGTTTAATCAGGGGAAAGGTCAATGGCACGTCGCAGCGGATGTTACATCCTAATTAAGCCACCCACATCTAGCCTTTAAGCGGGACTTGGTCACACTACTGCGTCGTGTCGCTTGAGCTGCGGACGTGGATCAGTTTGTAGCTCTCTGCAAGTGCGGATGCTTTACCTCTGCTGTAGGCTATTTTAATTGAATAGCAAGCGACGCCGTGAGGCAGCCAGAGAGGGAGAGAGAGATTTGATAGCTGTGCAGGCATGCATCTGCTTCTCAGCCTGCTGGCCGCAGACCTTAAATCGTTTGAGTATAGGTAGCTACAGTATAACATGCTTACAACCCCTATCGCTAGTTATGAAGGTCACCCATCTGGCATATGACGGCCCTGTCCCGATGGTCGGTTTTTCCATATCGAAAGTTTCTGGTGTCCGGACAACTGAGTATCATGGGACAGCTAGGCAGCACGGTACATGTGTAAGAGAAGGGACTGTTGTGAGGTGGGTCCTTTCTGAAGTGTAAATATGTATGTACTGTTGAATATGTTTCGGCGAAGAACGGCTAAGATCTTGGCGAAACCGCGAACTAAATCCCAAGATGTGAGCCAGGACTGTGACAAGGTCGTCGCTGACTCCTGGCAATGAAGTTGCAAGGGATCGGTGATGTCCCGAGTGTTCTTTCGTTGCGGTTCAATAGCATCCTTCAAAATGTTCGCTGCAAGACATGCAGCAAAGCTGGACAGACAGTTCTCTGCAGCTCTTGACCGGTCGCGGCCTTCCAAGTCATGGGCAACACAGGGGCCTTAATAATTAGAACAGGGTTTCGGGTATTTTATGCTACAACTATAATAAGGAACCGCCCAAAAAATAGTAAAGGCAATTATTGATGCCCCTATCTTATTCCAAGGAGACGACGGAAACCTTCGTGGACGCAGAAGAGAAGTACGACATGTTGGAGCTGTGCCGTGCCAGCCTAGGGGCCTTGCAACTGGTTCCGTTTGGGGGGTTGGATCCAATCGAAACTCCAAGCAGCAAGCACGGAGCAAGGTTCGCCTAGTCGCTGAGACTTTAGCAGAAGCTTTTTTGCTGATCCCGATCCATACACAACTGGCGACTGTCGCACGGACTTTGCCCCAGGATTGGCAGAGGGAGCGCGGCGGTGGTCAAAAAGGCGGTGCGGAAGCAGGACTGTAAGATCCACGGGCTTCAGGGAATCTCTTACTCCGATGCCCTTCAACTGCCCAGTTGAAGCTTTGAGATTCCCCATAACATCGGAACGTGATTAGGGAACCATAGGTCTTTAATCAGGGTTCTTTATGTGAGTCCTAATATGTTGGATTTAGGGCCAGGGTTTCTTAATTAAGTTCCTACAAACACATCATAAAACATCCAGAACGATGGACCCCAGTGCCGAGAAGCGGCTCCTGTGCAAAAGAACGGGAGTACCTCCAAGTCTCATGATCACCGAATACTTTTCTCCGAATACAGCAACACTGCATGTGCAAGGATGGCGTCGTTGTTGCACTCAAGATTGCCGGTCCTTCGGCTGAAAACTGGTCACTAGCGGATTATCGCAGAGACTACCTGCGATCTAAGGCTGTGCGAGCCCTTGTTTGGTTGAAGGGCACAGAAGGATTTGGCAGAACCTGCAGCAGCCACCTTCCCGTGACATCATAACCGCAGCAGCACTATTCATGTCAAGATCATGTCCGGTCCTGTTCGATTCTGTATGGTGCATCAACAACAGGTTCTATGGGTCAGCCCCTCGCGGCATTCTGATTTGCCAGGATTCACTGCATGTCAAGGTATCGTTCAAGCCCATGATTTATTTGGAACCCAGCTGTAGGGCTGGAGTGGCAAGCGCTTGTAGAGCTTGTTGGAACGATTTTGTTGGCTTGCTGAGCATTGTGCGTTCCACATATGTTCCGGACGCTTCTGGGAATTACAGTCATCCTCTCTGTTCTGATTCCTTGCAGCTGAAGGTTCCAAAGACAACTTCTCCTTGGCCGAGGCGGAATTCCGGATGCTGCAGTCACTCAACTCCGACACATTTGCAAGTGGAAACCCGCACGAACGAGTTCTCGTGCATATTGCAGAAACACTGGCAGTACAGTGTTTTTTGCTTCGCAGGAGGGGCTCCAATATGCTCCAATAGGTTGAAATATAACAGGCTCAGCGTGTGTTTTTTGTATACATACACAGATACATACATACATACATACATACATACATACATACATACATACATACATACACACACATACATACATACACATTCACATACTTTAAATACCTACATACATACATACATACATACATACATGCATACTTGCATACTAGCATGCATCCACACAGACATGCATGCATGCATGCATGCATGCATGTATGCATGCATACTGTATGCTTGTGTGTGTAATGTATGTATGTACATACACACATACATACATACATACATACATACGTGCGTACATGCATAGAGCTATACATATACATATAATATATACACATACATACATACAGACATACATTCATACATGCATGAATGCATGCATACATACATGCATACAAACATACATACATACACACGCATACATACACACAGACATACATACATATACATTCATGCATACATATACACCTACATATGTATACATACATGTATATATATATATGCATACATGTCTGTATGTATGTATGTATGTACGTATGTATGTATGTATGTATGTTTTTGCATATGTACAACGTATGTGTACAAAGGCGTATATGCCCGCTGGCCCTGTATGCAAAAATGCATATACACATGCATACATTCGTCCTACCTACCTGCTGCCTGCCTACCTAATTACCCGCCCCTACCTGCAAGCATACATGCATATGTTTTATACAAGTATTTTCGTAGACACAAGGGTATACGCACAGATACAAACATACTTCCTTACTTACATACATATGTACATATGTACGTACCTGCAACTGCTGTGAGTGCCGGCTGCGCAGATGCAGATGCAATGTAACAGCAGCCGAATACATGCAGACAGTGCATGTATGTACGTATGTATGTATGTACGTATGTATGGACGCATGTATTGTATGTACTGTGCATGCTAGCATGCATGCAAGCATGTAGTTTATGTAGGTATGTATGTTTGCATGTACCCATGCGCAAGTGCATGCATGTATGTACTCTTCGCAATTTTAAATCGGGTTCAGATGCTCTTGTTTGCATCAACGGTTTGGTGTACATGACAATCACATGTGTACCGTAGCTGCACGCATCAAGCAACTTAGGTATAGACAAACAAGGTCGCATTCCGAAAAACATGCTGATAACTAGCGAGTTAGCTATGTATGTATAGATACGATGTCCAACCACTTGTTAGAATGGTTTTAACTTGTTCCACCCCCTGAACCCATTAGAGCCTTGACCAGCTTGAGGTCCATCAAGCATCCGCATGTAATTCGGGCGCTCGACTTCTTCGCCACATCCGTCAGCGCAATCATGGCACCGACCCAAGATCGAACATGGGAACCTGTTCTTCTATTGTAGCTTCCTCTTACAGGGTGAATGGTGTATGCATGGATGCGTATGAACCAGTTTCGTCTGCGTGCTATCGCTTGCAATGTGTTGTTGTTCTGGATGTTGCCAGGCATATGCAATTCGAAGATACCAGAAGATATCAGAGTCTCGCCAAGACTTTTTTGACGCAGAGAGGGTGTGTGCACATGTCCTGGGCGATGTCGACATGTGAGCACAGATAGCTGTGCACGTGAGACCCTATGTATCCCAACAGTGTCTTGGCAGTGCTGCCAATCCTTCCGATGTCCGGTTTGCCTGCGCCACCTCCGAGCCAAAACAGGAAGGTCCTAAGCCCTATAATAATTGCTAACCACGGTTTGTTGGCAGAGGTTTCAAGGCGCACCCCCCACTTTCCGGTCAAATGTTAATCCTTCTATGACTGCAACGTGAACATACCTCGAAACCCCCATTCCCGTTTATTCAGGCCCTTATAAGTTAGAGAAGATACCTCCGAAAGCCAAAGGTCTTGGAATTCTTCGATGGTGGCAGCTTGGAGGACATCGCTGAGCATCATTGAGCAGTGTTTGGGGCAAGTATTGGGGCGTGCACCCAGCGGATGAAGGAATTGCATGATTTTCACCCCTGAAACCACGGCACCTATGCGATGCGTGTGCAAGCCATTGCAGCTTGGTGACCTGCAGAAACATTGCTTACGATACTTTCCTTACAACATCCCAGGCTCTTATGAGGTTTGTGGTCAGCTTCGCAACTCGGAACCTTGATTGGGACCCTTGTCAGGCCAAATCCCTACGGAATAGGAGACACCCAGGAAACCCTAATGGAGCGCACAGAGAGAGAGGGAGAGAGAGAGAGAGAGAGATACATACATACATACAGCCTTATGTCATCTCACATCCGGGAGACGAGTGCTGGCCACAAGCCCTTTCTGTCCGAAATCTGCAACCCTACTACGCCCGGAAACCCAAGCCGCATGCCTCGGTACTTATCTTGCATCTACCTAGATGCTGCCTGTTGGAGCGAAGTCTGAGCTTGACCCATACGTATACCCAGCTGGAGTCCCCAACTCTATGCCCACAAGCCATATGCCACAAGCGACGAGTGTGAGGAGGAGCTCCAAGCCCTTAAGAAAGACATTGAACCTTGGAGCCCTCAACTTTTCGTGGCAGGAAGCAGTCCCAAAGCTGCCTGGATCGCGTCTACCGGAGCATGGGGTTAAAACGGTTCTGGCTTACATGGCTTTTGCTGTCGACGACTCGACGAGGGAGCTTTTTGGTTTCCGGCTACCGGGCTGTGGACGCGTGTCCATCGTCAGCACATAAGGCCAGCCTGTTCCGACCTATACCGCAGCTATCCCATGCCAGCCTGGGTACGACCAACACCGCAGCTTTCACCTCTAGAGGTTCGTTGGCTTTTCGACCCTTCGATACTCCGCAGTTTGCCTTCTCCCCACCGCTTGTCCGGAAGACCTCTAACAGGAGTCTTGCAGTCCTCAATCCTCGAAAGCTTTATTGGCTAAGGCCAAAGGATAGTTGGAGCGCCTCAATGAAGCAGGGTCTAGACAGGGTAAGGTGCAGGCTCGAATAGTCGAATAGATGCTGTTGACGTTGGAAGCTTCCGAAGAAGCCTGCCAAGAGTCCAGGTACACACTTCGAGCCAGAAGGAGAATCCCCAAGCATGCTGATGAACTCAAAGCCTATAGACTCTATAGACCTCACACCTTAGCAACAAGAGGAGCTGAAAGCCCGGTCGCTGTTCAAAGCGCTGCTGTCAGCCGTGTGTGCCTGGCCTCAACTTATGCAGTCGAGGGCGGACCAAGTGCAAAGTTTCCAACTGACGAAGGACTTTTGATTGAAATATACATGTGCGCTTGCAGACGAGGGGTAGTTCATGCAACCAGGCATGTCGATTAGCAAAACAAAGCCCACTTGCTCACCAGCCGAGGAACATGTCGTCTGTACATTACATTGACGGGTGCAGGTTAAACACAACACAAACACATCGCGCGCACACACACACACACTCACGTATACGTCTCGCTCACAGGTTTCTTTTTCTCACACTTGACTGAGCCTGGGGCAAGTTGACAAATCGATGGGTTAGATCGTCATGTAGATAGAAAGGGTTTGACAGATAGACAGTAGAGAGATACTCGTATGTAGATCGGTAGTCGTTAGATCGGTAGACAAACAGATAGACAGATCGGTAGGCAGATAGAGAGAAACGGAAGGACGGAGAGCGGTAGAGACAGGGAGGTAGAGAGACGGGAATTCTAGTCCTGGCGTGAGCAGAATTCCAATCTCGTGGGGCGGTTGGGCGAAGGTTGCCGCAGATACCGTGCACCCAGCCGAACAATCGGCCCAAACAGAGGGTTCGCCCCTCAAGCCTCGCAAATGAAAGGGAGATAGCAGGCAAGCTACCTAGATAGATAGATAGGTAGACAGATAGATAGATAGTTTGATAGATGGATAGATAGATAGATGGATAGTTGGATAGGCAGATCGATAGATATATCGGGACAGGTAGGTAGATGGATAGGTACATAGACAGACAGACAGACAGACAGACAGACAGACAGACAGATAGGGAGCCAGGTAGATATAGATAAGTAAGGATAGATAAAGCTGAATACAAGTAGAAAGGCAGGTAGATAGATAAAAAACACAGCCAGACAGACAGACAGATAGATAGAATTATGGATTGAGGGATAGATGGAGAGAGAGAGAGAGAGAGAGAGAGCGAGCCAGAGAGCGAGAGCGATAGCGAGAGAGATGGGTAGACATAGATCGATATAGAGATACAGGGACAGAAAGATAGCTGGATAGGTAGGTTAAAGACAGACTGACAGAGAGACAGACAGACAGATAGAGACAGAGACAGCGACAGAGACAGAGACAGAGACAGAGACGGAGAGACAGACAGACAGACAGACAGACAGACAGACAGTCAGACCGACGGACAGACAGACAGACAGACAGACAGACAGACAGACAGACAGAGAGAGACAGAGACAGACTGACAGTCAGACAGACAGGCAGTCAGACAGACAGACAGACAGACAGACAAACAGGTAGAGATGAACATTCATTTGCCTGGCTACGTAGAGGGACAGAAACGGCAAAGCATTTCAATGTCTAAAGCCGCTTGTGGTTGAGAAATTAAGCCACGCATTGTTTCGTGACTAAGGCTATCTGCATACCAGGCGCATCATCCACCGAGATGTAAAGCCGTCCAACGTCGTGGTGTCCGTGCCTCCTCCTGACACTGGACATGGGGGTTTGGCAGCACGTGTTGGACACTTCTGGGCAAACATGAGCCATGTTCCGTCTGCTCTTCAGCGAGATGGCTCTAGGGAACTTCCGAAACTTAGTCTTGTTCTAATTCTCCAGGAACCAAGAGTGCAATTGAGTCGATTTGGGGACACATGTTGTGGGTTGGAGTTCACGATTTCCGTGGATAGCTCTGAAACGGCAGAAACCTGTTTTGACGCGGCAACGGCAACCTTTGTTGTGCCACGACATGTTCGGAATGATGAAGCCCAGAGAGAGACAGAATTTGTGGGTGGGCCACAGCCAGCATGCTTACTTTCCACAATGCTGAGAGGCCACTAATTCAGCTGGCTCCACCACCTTGGGCTGTAATATGATTTGAGCTTGACGTCGCATGAGCACCGGTTCCCCACGCCCCATATCCGGCGGAACCGTTTCAGGACCTCTCGGGCTTAAAAACAAGATGTAAGGAGCCTGTAAACAAATAACTTGAAACCTTATCCTGAACTGAATAGATGCTTCTATGTGCCGGTCAACAGCTATTAATGCCACCATGTCTGGAAAGCTACAAAAGCATACCTTCTGGTTATGTTGCTATACACGCCCGGATAGATCACATGCTGTGTCAGAGAAGGCTTTTGGTCATGATAGCACAGCCCTACAATCTACGATCTAATTCGAAACCCCCGAACCATAAGGCCCTGTCCCTAAAATTACGATGGTGCTCTTGTGAGTTCCATATAACCATGCGTATAGTGTCGTTTTGGTTCCGTTGGGTTACAAGCAAGCCGTAAACCCCTAAAACCCCACAAAGAGGCCGACCTCTTGGACTTGCGACTACTGGACTTCAACGTCGCCAAGCGCTTGACAGAAGGAGGTCCGGACTCCTCTTCGGCTCATTTGGGTGGTTCTCCAAATTAGGGTCCCGTTTGGGTTCCCCAAATCCCCAAATAGTACGAACCCCCCTCCCCTTTAGACAAGGACCCTAAAAGGTGCCTAACTTATAGACTTATAGAGAACTACTCATTTAGTGTGTCATGCTTCTTGCTCTTTTGTTGCTACAACTTTGTGCTTACGGGTCGTGGGTTGTGGGACTTGTCGGCGCTTATGCGTTTTTCGGGCTGTCATCGTCCACGGGGGCTTAGGATGAGGATGGTGCTGAGGACTTTGCAGGATTCAAGTGGAAGAAGTCCGGAAACTCTGCTGATTCCTGTGTTCGAGATGTCATCTATGCACCTCTTCGTTGGGGACCTTGCTGAAGGCAGAGCGCAAGAACTTCTAAACCAGTTTACATGCTGGCAGAGCCCGCGCACTGCTAGAGGCAAACACTTGACCCAGGAGCCTTGACATTGACAGGGACACGGCTCTACTGCGCGCCGGAGGTTCTCGACGGCGAGCCACCGAACGAAGCCAATGATGCTGCCGGGCTAAATCTAAAATGCAGTTGAGTTGTTTCTTCCAGCTTGAACGTATAGAGTGTATGATGGATGAGGTGATACGGTGATTCTCGGAATTTGGTACCTATACTGGGTTGGGTTATGATTTCATAGAGAGCTCTCTTTGTCAACCTCTCTCTCTCTCTCTCGATGTGAAGGCTATATACCCACCATGGCCTCATGCTTCTAAACTCTTGCGAACATGTAGAGTATTTCAGTAAACTCATGCCGGTCATAAGGACTGCCGCATGTAGTTCTCAACTCCGCTAGTGTTAGTACCAGTCTGACACTACTCGCGGAAGCGCTTGCATTGCCGGGATGTGTGCTGATCTTCGTCTGTGTGAACGCACGAAAAAGTTCATCCACGACAGCGGTTGGAAGAAATATGCACGGTGGCGGCAAACAGGAAACAGATGCGAATTTTCATCATTCGCAGAGATCTTGTTTTCATACCGGCTAAGCATGCACCAACTCAAGCGATGTCAGTCATTTACTGACGCATCACCCGACGGTATTGTTATCAGAACAGTAGGTTGTTGATTCAAGCTATGCTGCCTGACACCCCAAGCTTTCTGCACCTTAGAGCCGGAAAGGTCTGGGGCTGCGGCCTTTGCATTTACTTCATGCTCGCCGGCCGGCTTCCCTGGAAGATGCCAGTCTGTTTATTGGTCCTTGTCGACCATGTTTCGACTATGAAGACATGCACAAATCTCTTTCTATGAACCTGAAACTACCCGCACGCATGTTTACACACGTGAACACCTGCAATGTACACACATATATATGTTCATGTGACATGCACATATATATATATACTTATGTATTTACACACAATCACACACATATATACATACATACATATATATATATCTATGTGTTATGTTATGTTATGTTATGCTATGCTATGCTATGCTATGCTATGCTATGCTATGCTATGCTATGCTATGCTATGCTATGCTATGCTATGCTATGCTATGTATGTATGTATGTATATGCACATAATGTAAGCAAGCAAAAATAAATATATATATATATATACACATATATATATATGTATATATATATGTGTGTGTGTGTATATGTCTAAGTCTAAGTCTAAGTCTAAGTCTATGTATAGGAACATGTATGTATATGTATATGTACATGTGTATATGTGTGTGTGTGTCTACGCATGCAGCCACCCATGCATGCATAGGTACATGCATATACACACACGTCCACATACCTACTTGCCTACATATCTACCTCTACGTCCATAATTCATGCCTGCATGCATATATGCATACCAGGTACCTGCATGTTGAGGTCACTGTAGTGTTTGGGCGCCGATTGCATCCTCCAAGATGTAGGTCCGTAAGTTCGGTGGCGGCTGTCGGCTTGGGCTGGCTCTTGCCATGGCTGAAGTGTTCTAGTAGTTAACCCTGATGCCATAGATATGACAGTTACAGTGCAGTGTAGGTAGTATGTATACATACACATATCTACATAAATGGCATTATGCATTGATGCGTAGGCTTTGGTCTGGATGCGGCTATTTTGTAGGATTAGGGTGTTCAGGTTCCACCGGTGTCACGCTGCGTGTCTGGATTTCCTGGCTTCCGTTGGTTTTGCTGTATTGGGTTGCTGTGGCTTTCATGTGTTTGGTGGTTTCAAGACAAGTTGCCTTACGGTCTTGCTTCGAATCAGGGTCCCTTTTTCGCCAGAAACCCTGTGTTGCATCAGCAGCTGCAAGAGGCTTCGTGCTGCGGGTGATTTCGGACACCAGCCTAGCCCCAGACCCGGATCTCAAGAAACCGCCGGAACTCAGGATCCTGCCCACCGAGAACTTCTTCGAGACCCTGCCGGCACTTAGGGTCTCGGGATCCTGGCGCCGAGCCTGCAAGGCAACGTTTTTTGGCTTTCAGCTTTTCAGGCGGGTTGCGGATGAGGCCGCCTTAGAGCACGCATGCTCGGCTGCTGCTTGTGCGGAGGGTTCAAAGGGTCGGGTAAGGGTTGCATTTCAGTGAAGAACGTGTATCTACCGGACACGAGGAAACTCGACTTAACTCCTTCACTGCATGTAGCAGCCGTTGGAACGGGCCAGAATCTGTAGCCCTTCACCATCACCGTCTGAATGTCCCCCGCACGCATTGCACCTTTGACAACTCCAGAGTTTCCGGATTCGAGGTCCGGGGGGGAAAGGCCCGACGACGAAGAAATGCACAAAAGGCTAGAGGAGGTGGTTCTTGTCGTGCCCATGAGCCCAGCCACGAAGTCCGACTTTTCTCAGGGTAAGCAGGGTCGGGGTCCCGTGTTGATGACTGAGCTTGTTCTATGTGGCTCCTTTGTCCACCTGCCCCTTCAACCCTAAACCCGAAAGCCCTGAAAACCCTAAACCACCTAAAGCCGAACGCCTAAACCCAAGACCCACGTTACTGAAGCCAAGGTGCCTTTCACTTTCGGAGCCCTGCGACCCGTCACGGTTGTCGCATCACAGGGCGTGTCCTAAGTCCGACCATACATGCTAGTCGACCGATGAACCCAAATGGAGTTCAAGCAAGATGTTTGCCGCTTTCTACTTCGATGCCCGCTCTTACATGCACAGCTTGAGATTTGGTGATTTGGGGTTGAGGCCGGTGGTTGACCCTGCACTTTTCACCATGTGGTAGGTTGGCAGTGCCCATGCATGTCCCTGGTCGGATGGAGCACACTTGCACTTTGCGAAGATCCTGCTTCGTATGACAGCAAGGACTTCAACTGTGCTGCCCCCAAGGCAGAGGCCAAGAGCAGGTCGGGGTTGCGCATCTGTTCAGGCAAGTCGGTACTGCGCCAATGCTTAACGATCGACCCCACCTGGAGACCGGCTGCGACGACCGTTATGCTGCATGAGCCTTGCCGTTGGTTGGACGAAAGGATCCTTTTCAGGTAGTTGGGTGTTGACCGTGCCAAACCGCTGTACCGCCTGTTGACAGAACGCAGATGGTTATATCGCATCAAGTAAGTCATGCGCCTGACCTGGAAAATCGGAGTTTTCTGCTCAGGAGTGGTTCTGGATGCAGTAAGATGCCGCCCAGCAGCAGCAGCAGCAGCGGGAAGCTGGGGTGGGAAACGGATCGTAAAGTGTTTCAAGTCCATGTGAAGCAAGGTGTTGAATGCCAGGCCGTGTTCCTTTATGCTACAGTGTGCTCCATTACTGAAGATTGTGGGCTTATGGGGAATCCAAAGGGCTCAAGCCCAAGTTTTTAGACCAAAAGGCGTCGAGCCTCGTGTAACGAACTTCGACTGGGATCCAGGGTCTCTACCATCAGCTGTATGTTGGGTTTCAATTTTTAGTAGAGCTTTTGGGGTTACAGTAAGGGTTAGCACTGTTTCCCGAACAGCATTTTGACACGATTGGCATTGCACAGCGTCAGGATGCTACTTGCTATGTATGCTCCAACGTTACGACAGTGAGTAGTGAACCCCTTTCGAATCGGATCTGCCTCTTTGTACGTCCTGCATGCTCAAGCCCGCAATTCTGTCGGATTAGCCCACCCAAAGCGTGAAAACCTTTGCAGTCTTGCTTTTAAGAGCCTAGCGGCAAAGAGACAAATCTGCAGTAAGCATGGTCAAGTAGCATGCGATGACACGACTGTAGTGTGGAGTTAGGCGTAAGGCCACATCCTCCAAGCCCAGCAATATGATGCAACGATATGGTCAGCACTCTGGCTCCAGTTGTCCTGACCGTGTACTGCAGTATCACAGTGCTTCCTACTACTGAAATAGCAAGTTCAAGCACATTCCGTAGCCCAGGAGTGTACATACAAACGCGGACCATGCAAAGAGAGTCGAGCGGGACAGTGCAGTCGTTTCTTACGATATGTCCTCGCGGTTATCTTGATGTAGCTGTTGCCAACGTACAATGCTCGGCTTGATCCTTCGACTTCTACAGGAGACTGCGAGTATTGGCTTCTGTTGCCTCTATAGGCCTGCTCTGGACACGATCTTGTGGGCTGAGCACAATCTTGAGCACTCGGCGAAGCAGCAGCCGACCGAAGAGCATGAGGCAATTTGTACATATCGGAGAGCCCCAACTGCTCGACAATACCAGTTGTTGAATATCAGTATAAGTGACTAACGATTTGTCGTCAGCAGTATGTCAGCCCATCTCTGAGTGATTGGGGTTCTAGTCATCGGCGCAATAGGCCGTTCGGCACTGAGTAGGACCAAGAAGTCCTGCGTTTCATTTTCTCTGGTGCCGGCTTGTGCTTCACCGGCACAAAGCCATGTGATGACGCAGCTGACAAGTCGAGGGTTGTTTCAGGCAAGCTTTCGTATAGAACGGGGAATGGTTTCCGACGTGATGCTGTGCATGTGCCACGGGAACAAGTTTGCCAACCTCCTCGACCTGTCGTACATAGCCTGCTACGTAAGCTTCTTCGGTCCTCCATCAGGCGACCGCTATCACAGCATTAGACTCTAGCACGGCTGTCACTTTGTATGTCTCTTAGTCCAGGCTGTCGCATGGAACAAAAAGGGCTCCTGTGCGAGCTTGAGTTGCACGACTTTGTGGCCGGATGCCAAGTGCATGTGCTTTGCTTGCTGACGATATTGAGTGATTCTTGGGGCTACGAGTGCACATCTTGTCTATCGGTTCTATCGGTTGCCACTGTTTTGCTGTCTCAAGGTGTCGTCAAGTATATTGCTTACAAGTGTGCGTGCACAGAATGCCCGCACACATACTTACGTATTAACTGTGACCAACTTGCATTGCTCGTGTACACACGGAAGCACCCCAAGTTTGCTGTGTCGTGTTCTATCACGCGGTCTACCGTCGCGTGCGGTTTCCTCCAGGATGTTTTTATTTGGTGGAAGATGCTAGGCCAGCGATCGGCAGCGGCACGTTAATTGGCTTTTGCAGCTTGCAGAACAATCTGGTCATACGGATTTGTCTGGAGGAGGCGGATGCTGTTGATTTAGCTGCGCGAACTGGGACCTCTCCTGTTCAGAAGTTTTAGTGTTCCCCAGTACTGGGGCGAATCGATTTCGTTGAGGGATGCTAATGGCAAGACTTATGCCGGCCGCGAGGAGAGTGCTATTTCTAATCAGGTGCTGCATGTGACGATGGCATCCGACTTGTGGTGAGGCTTCAATATTTACCAATTGACTGAACAGGCTTCGAAGTCGGCGAAGAATGGTTGGATGGCGGTACACTTGTTCAAGTCCAAAATTCGAAACCAGTAAGTTAGATCCGACTCTGGAAAAATTATAGACATCTAAGCTGCTGCGCAGAAGCCCGGCCAAAACCCAAAGGCTTAGGGCTTAGGTGGCAGGTTGAGGCGTTCATGCGCCTACGATGCGAGCATGACCCGTCAAAGCCAGGCAGCCCAACGACTGGCAGAAGGCATAGCATGCTGCAGATGATGCAAGCGGCGACATATGAGGAGGCCCAACTGTGCCACTAAGCCAGGCAAGTCTGAGACCAAGAAGTCCTATAGGCTTGAGTTGCACGTTTACAGCGAGCTATCAAGGTCCATCAGCTGTTTTACGGCAAGAGACTTTTACGACAGGGTGGTGCGCCGGAGTCCATCTTGGCGCTGCAGGCAGACCGACACGAGGGCTTATAGCAGACAACATGTAGGTGGGTATCTTGTAGTTCAAGCAGGGCCTTAGACTGTAGCTATATAGTATGCAACGCACTGGGTTTGAACTTATAATCTCTGCAGGCTTAGCCCAGAACGGGTTGCGGCTTGGTGCTTTGGCTTGAGGGGCTGCAGCACTGAAGGTCGCTAATTCGCAACTGTCCCAAGAACAGGTTACTTTACAATGCTGTCAGGCTAACTTTTCTCATCGATACCGATTGTTGGTTTGGTTTTTATGGTGCTAGTTGCGGTGCTCGTCGCCGTAGAGTCCTCGTTGCGTGTCGTTGTTTTCTCCCTCGTCAATGAGATCATTCGCGATAGTCGTAGTCAGTATAGGTAGGCTCAGAGTTCTGAAACATATATGCCCAAGACCGAGAACTAGACAACCAGGGACGGTCAAGCCCATGAATGTGCTCTCTAATTGACAAACTGCGAAGTAGAGACGATGAAAAAGCAAAGAAACAGTTGAGGCGTGCAAAAATGCATCACGGGCTCGGCTCGGCATGACATTTTCGCCAGGAAATCAGCGCGGCCGCCACCCAAGTTTCGGAGGCAGATCCTGCTGATAACCGACGGGGACAATCGAGAAGCAAAGAAAGAGTTGGCATGCCATTGTTTCAGCGTGCAGGTTGCGGAAGGGGGGGTGCGAGTTAAACCGAACGCAAACTGGGACTGCACCATCGGCATGGCTTTCAATACCTTGTCGTTGCATGAAAGGTGATGTCCAGCCTGCTGACGACAGCGGACAGCATGTGCTCAAAAGCGTGCAGCGCTTAAGTTATCGGCTGTATCGAAGAGATGGACTCGGAGCTTTGTGCCCGCTTCGATGCTTCTTGATTTGAGTGATGCTGTTTTTGCCTTTCAGGGGTTGTAGAAATGCGTGACGTGTATGTCATAATTATGCGTCTAGGTAGGTCTGGGGACAGATGCTGATGCTGTAGTGCCGTAGTTTTTCCAACTTTGACTATGGCAGTCTATATCCAAGTTGCGTGAAACAAAGATGTCCTTGGGATTTGCCTAGTACGCCCTTCCTTAAGCTTGCTTCCCGATGCCTCCAGGCCACATGATTTCATCGAGGATGTGTTCTCCCTCAGAGAGATCGGGGCTGAAGCAACAAAGCCGCGGCCTTGTCTTCTCACAGAACACCGTCATTGCTGTCTCGGCATCAGCATGATCAGCAATTTTGGCTGGCTGGCGTCGTGATCACCGCAACCATCAGCATCGGACGCAACGCCGATCACGGGACAGTGAATCTCATCGTAGGAGTGTCAGCGTTGGTCTTTTGACAGATCTGGTAACCATGATACTCCACACAGTCCTTGCTATAGCGCAGTAGGAGGAAGGTCAAAGCCTGAGTATGCCCGGATCAGGATTGTATTAAGTAGTGTCTTAACAGTCGTAGGTGTAGTTCTTGTTGCCGGTGCAACAGGAGAGGATGCATCAGCCACAGTCAGGGTGATATATCAGCGTGTGTTGAGACCAGCACTCCCAAACGCAACGCCATTTCAGCGAAAGTGTTTGCAAGCAGCCGGCTCTATCGAGCAAACCTAGCGAAAGTAGCCATGCTACCTGTGATGTAGATACTGATCTGACGGTGTGACAGTGATGATGAGAATGATGACGGTTATGGCGGTGGTGGTGGTGGTGGTGATGTTGATGATGACGATGGCGATGATGATGATGATGATGATGATAGTAATGGTGATGATGCTTTTTTCAGCTTCTCCCAGCTCCTTGCGTCAACACGATCGATGAGTCTTCAAACGCTCCGGCCCAAAACCGTGACTCAAACAACTACTGGTGATGTTGTTGATGGTGATGAACATGAAGACACTGGCGTGTGTGATGATGTGTATCGCGTAGTTGACTATATGGGTTCAGGGAGCCTGGGCAGGGGTGAAAACGCTGGATGAGTTGCGTGATGGCATTTTGGAAGGGGGCTTGTCACAATTGCCCGCGACCGCTTGAAGAAGCCCATGGGTTAGATGTGTGTGCGTGTGTGTATGTATGTATGTATGTATGCATGCATGCATGCACGCATGTCTGTAACATGCAATGTGGTGGGGTGCTGCGTGGTGTGGTGATTGGAGATGTACTCCATCATACGTGTGTATGTTCTGCACAGCTATGCTATGTGTGTCTCTCAGTGTACGATGCGATGTTACGTCATGTCATGCGATGCTGTTGTATTTCATGCTCTGCGCTGTGTCATGTTAATGCTTATGTTAATGCGCATGCTAAAGGTAATCTGAAGTTTAGTGTCAATGACACACCAATGTTGCTGTATATAGTTGTACTGAGTGTTATTGTCAGCTTGCAGGGTGACCACGACTCTCGCAGAGCCTGTGCCACCCGCCACGGAGGCCTTGAGAACACCACAAGACTCAGACTAGAAGAACAACTCTAAAAGCCTAAACCCAGCCCACGGTGTAGCCCTGTGA